GAATGTTCTCCCAGACTGGTCGACGTAGAAGCACTTCCAGCAGCGAATGTTCTCCCAGACTGGTCGACGCAGAAGCACTTCCAGCAGCGAATGTTCTCCCAGGCCGGTCGACGTGGGAGCTCTTCCACCTTCCAGCAGTGAGAATTCTCCAGGCCAACTGCTGGAGTCGACCCACTTCTAGCGTCAAGTGGTCTTCAGGTTAGGCGCCAAAATGGCTTTTGTACTCTCTGGCGTCCTTGGACCACAACTGAGCCTCGGGCGGGGAAAAAACAGGCGAGATTTTGTTGTCCTGTCTGGAAATCCATTTTACCAAGGGAAAGGAAAGAAGGAAAATGGAAGGGAAGGTAAAAAATGGGAATATGGAAGAGACTTTTCCTTCCCAACAGCTTACTCTATATTTTTTCTCTTGATGCGCTTGTCTCGTTTCTTATTTCTGTCTCATTCATTGTTTTCCGGTGGTGATAAGTAGGGAAGCTAGTGATAATATTTGAGACAATTGAGAGGCGGGACCAAAGAGCCGAAACACAACCTCCTCTCAACCACAATAACACCAGTACAATTAACCTTCACAACAATCCCACACGAGCCACAAAGACCAGTTCGAATCCCTCCTGTCTTTTGTTGATATTCATAATACCCCCCTCCCCCCTCGGGGCCAAATATTAAACCGATACACTTTTTGGAAATGAAAAAAGCAGTAGAAAAAAGAACAAATCTATTGCAACGGCCTTTTAAAAGCTTTGATTAAACGCGGCGTCTCACTCTGTCAATTGCAACATCCGAGGCTATAGTCTTTATTGACCTGGGTTCGAACCCTGGCTCGTTTGGGAGGAGGAGATTCGAACCCTGGCTCGTTTGGGAGGAGGGGATTCGAACCCTGGCTCGTTTGGGAGGAGGGGATTCGAACCCTGGCTCGTTTGGGAGGAGGGGATTCGAACCCTGGCTCGTTTGGGAGGAGGGGATTCGAACCCTGGCTCGTTTGGGAGGAGGAGATTCGAACCCTGGCTCGTTTGGGAGAAGGAGATTCGAACCCTGGCTCGTTTGGGAGGAGGGGATTCGAACCCTGGCTCGTTTGGGAGGAGGGGATTCGAACCCTGGCTCGTTTGGGAGGAGGGGATTCGAACCCTGGCTCGTTTGGGAGGAGGGGATTCGAACCCTGGCTCGTTTGGGAGGACGAGAGAACAGCAGCGAGTTAAGAGAGATTTAGTTCGCTAAAGAATTAGTCTTTTTCTCGCGTGACTGTAATTCCGGTGTTGAGTCTTAATGGGGGGGAATTGGACTGGTTGGGATATCCCAAACCAGTGTTGGGAGGGATATCCTAGCCAGTTGTGGGTTGGGATATCACAACCAGTGTTGGGTGGGATATCCCTGCCAGTTGTGGGTTGGGATATCACAACCAGTGTTGGGTGGGATATCCCAGCCAGTTGTGGGTTGGGATATCCTCTGGTATCGAGCCGTTTATTTTTGTAAAGGATTATTATAGTGTTTTTTATAATCTTCAGTCTGGGAAAAAAATATTATATAAATATTCCTGTTTTAAATTCAATTTAAATTATTTTTGTTAACAGTAATAATTTGTGTTGTGTGACTTTGATGCCAAATGATTCGGATTGTTCGATTAGACTATGATGGGAGGTTTTTTGCTTCTCTCTCTGTCTCTCTCTGTCTCTCTCTCTCTCTCTCTCTCTCTGTCTCTCTCTCTCTCTCTGTCTGTCTCTCTCTCTCTCTCTGTCTGTCTCTCTCTCTCTCTCTCTGTCTCTCTCTCTCTCTCTCTCTCTCTCTCTCTCTCTCTCTGTCTCTCTCTCTCTCTCTCTCTCTCTCTCTCTCTCTCTCTCTCTCTCTCTCTCTCTCTCTCTCTCTCTCTCTCTCTCTCTCTCTCTCTCTCTCACGTGATAGGCGCTCAGTCCCCGAAGACGTAAAGTCTGTCAACGAACATCATCTAACATAAAATTTGATTGGTTCCTCGGTGCCTGAATGAAGAACGCGTTCTCCTATTGGCTGAACACAAGCAAGAGTGCAAATGTTACGTAAATCGTGATTGGCCCAACAGTATTGCCAACGGCTGGAAACCCACATAAATATATATATATAAAATATATTGCAAAAAACATCTATATACATACAAACTACCTTTAAACTTTACGAACTGAAAGCGATACACAGGAGATATGTTAACGACATACAAAATCCCTAAAACGACCTAAATGGGCCACAAAGATTTGAAGAATATAACTAAATTGAATTAACTATATTCAGTCTTGAATCAAGTGAATCACTGCATTAAACAACCCAGGGTGCTGACAAAGGCGGGGCCTAGGAGCTAGCTCTCAACATCTCCAAGTACATCTAGGTGAGGAGATACAGGTCGGTACTGCATACTCTCCAAGACCGATTCCCAATAGCCTTAGAGGCGGCTGGAACACGCGAATTGACTCGTTCGTCGACCTTATGGTCTCCGCTGGTTAGTAGAGAGACAGGAATGGGGGCAAGAGAGGCGTATGCAACTGCGGGATGTGAAGCGAAGTATATTTTGCTGTTTTGATGCATAGATTAGACAGACAGAGACAGAGGGACACAGAGGGGGTAGAAACAGACAGAGGGACAGACAGAGACAGACATAGGGACACAGAGGGGGTAGAGACAGACAGAGGGACAGACAGAGACAGACATAGGGACAGAGACATAGGGACAGAGACAGAGGGACAGACAGACAGAATACACTCACTGTTATCTGTTATCGTACAGATAATTAGGAAGATACCATGCATATATCCCCCCCCCCCCCACGTCTGTCGAAATTTTTTTTATTAAACGTCTTTAATAAAGACATATCATCACTTTGAACCAGTTCAATATAACAGGTTATCACATCACTTGTTCATTACCAAATGAACACTCCCAGTGTCGCCTCAAGGTATAACAGCTCACCCGCTCAACTACCATAACAAACTACGTCATTACGGAACTGTCCTGGGCCTATACGACGTTATCAGTGGTTGAGGGAGCCATCAACCGCTCTCCGGATTGATGATATACTCATCAAGATTGTGAGACACAGACAGTGGAGATTATGCTATATACGGACGGGGGGGGGGGGTTGACTTGAGAACTGGTAATTTTTACTATTGTCAAGTTGCAATGATCAACTTTCAACCCGTCGCATCCTTAAAGGTCGTTCTTCAACTCGAAGCATTTTACTCAACCCCTGAAAAAAAAATGCCTTTAAAATATTCTATTTTCAATTTTTGTAAATGCTTGTTTGAAGGTCCATGAACAGGAACACAAAATGGGCATTTGTGATAGTGAATTTGTGATAATGAAATGCAAGGAATGCTTGCAACAGCTCAGCAAAGATAAGGTATCAAGAATCTAATTTCAGAGGAAATGCTGAAATTGCAACTTCCCCCCCCCCCACCCCCACCCCCCCACACCCCCCCCCCTGTCAATCATTTCAATCCTTGGCATGGTGGAGGTTGTGGCTCCTATCTTCTTCTCCTTCTCAACCTCTAAGAATAACTTGTGTTAAGAAGATACATACATATGTAACATAGTGGAATCGTCATGTAATTGGGAATATAATTTTTCCCCTATCTGTGAATTAATGTGAATTATTTTCCTGAACAGTTGAGTTTTCCCTTAAAAATCAGACCTGTGGTCTAAGGAAAACGTATTTAACGTGTCAGAAAACGGGAATTGCTTTGAAAATGGAAATCGCGTAACAGAAAATGAGTATCAGCTTATAGAAAATGGTAATAGTGTGACAGAAAACGAGCATCGTTTCATAGAAAATGGAAATAGTGTGACAAAATGAGTATCAGCTTATAGAAAATGGTAATAGTGTGACAGAAAACGAGCATCGTTTCATAGAAAATGGAAATAGTGTGACAAAATGAGTATCAGCTTATAGAAAATGGTAATAGTGTGACAGAAAACGAGCATCAGTCCATAGAAAACGGAAATAGTATGACAGAAAACAAGCATCAGTCCATAGAAAATGTAAATAGTATGACAAAAAACGAGCATCAGTCCATAGAAAATGTAAATAGTATGACAGAAAACGAGCATCAGTCCATAGAAAACGGAAATAGTATGACAGAAAACGAGCATCAGTCCATAGAAAATGGTAATATGAAAGCACCAATAATCAATATATCTTCTTGTCCATACTGTGATAAAACAAACATATATTAAAGCTGGAAACCTGAAAACTGGCATATGAAAATATGAGTAAATATGAACGTCGTTTGAACTGGGAAAAGAAAATGTTGAATACGTCACAGAGAGAATTTCTCCAATAATCTTGTTCAAATTTTCTTAAAGATGATTGGCTGTCTCGGTGAGGGGGGGGGGGGTTGTGGTGGTAGAGGGTTTGGGTAATTGTGGTAGTGGTGGTTGCCCACCACTCCAGCCCTGTACCCATGCCTGTACCCATGTCTGTACCCATGTCTGTACCCATGTCTGTACCCAGCTCTGTACCCAGCCCTGTACCCATGTCTGTACCCATGTCTGTACCCATGTCTGTACCCAGCTCTGTACCCAGCCCTGTACCCATGTCTGTACCCATGTCTGTACCCAGCCCTGTACCCATGTCTGTACCCATGTCTGTATCCATGTCTGTACCCAGCCCTGTACCCAGCCCTGTACCCATGCCTGTACCCATGCCTGTACCCATGTCTGTACCCAGTCCTGTACCCATGGCTGTACCCCACTCTGTACCCAGCCCTGTACCCATGCCTGTACCCATGTCTGTACCCATGTCTGTACCCAGCCCTGTACCCATGTCTGTACCCATGTCTGTATCCATGTCTGTACCCAGCCCTGTACCCAGCCCTGTACCCATGCCTGTACCCATGCCTGTACCCATGCCTGTACCCAGTCCTGTACCCATGGCTGTACCCCACTCTGTACCCCCAGTTCAACAGATAGTAAGTAATTAAAACTATATCTAACCATCCATTTCCCTCCCTAGAACACGACTCATCAATCAAGTACACCCATTTCAGAATCGCCTTTGGGAGCGCCGGGCCAGGATTCGAACCCGAGCTACCCGCTGGAGAGACCTGCGTATGCTGTAACCGCTTCGCCACGAAGTGCTCTATACTCTAGAGTCCATTAGGCCTAAACACAAGGTATGTATCTTTATTTTGAACTCCATATGTATGGGAGACCGTATATGTGTATGTGAGTCTGTATATATGATGTGATTGCCGTAAGGTTATCTTGAGATGATTTCGGGGCTTAGCGTCCCCGCGGCCCGGTACTCGACCAGGGCCTCCTTTTTATTACACCCCCCCCAACCTCACCCCTCAGGAAGCAGCCCTTAGCAGCTGTCTAACAAAACCCCCAGGTACCTATTTACTGCTAGGTGAACAGGGGCATCAGGGGTAAAAAGACTCTAACCATTTGTCTCCGCCTCCACCGGGGATCGAACCCGGAACCTCAGGACTACGAATCCCGAGCGCCGTCCACTTAGCCGTCAGGGCTGATTGAGCTCTTATCCCCGTAAGCGAGTACTTAAGAGTAACTCCGACGAACGTACACATATTGACGTACTAAAACCATATGTAAATAGAAGCATGAGCTGGTACACATTATATGTGACCACATATGTATCTGTATGTATAGATGATTGATCATTCATGTATCTGTATGTATAGATGCAAAATTCCTTCATTAATGAGTATACACGAGAAAAAAAAATCGTATTCATTGATGGAGACATTTAATGTAATACATAATATACATTATGTATACATTTCAATCAAACTGACCTAACAGTGTCACATAAGCTAAAAAGGGCCTAACTTGAGTACAATTCGACCGATACTAAATATTAAATAATATTTAATAAGATAATTACTAAGTAATTATCCTAGATAATTACAAAGTAATTATCCTAGATAATTACTAAGTAATTATCCTAGATAATTACTAAGTAATTATCCTAGATAATTACTAAGTAATTATCTAAATGTCGTGATATTTATATAAACTCCCGCTTATATAGAACGAGCATCTGCGTATATCCACGTATATATATATATATATATATATCATACACATCCATGTATATATCCATGTATCCACGTTTCATTCTGAGTAAAGTCCTTGGAATATTACTTAAAGGAACCATAGGGTTATCTTATCTTGAGGTTATCTTGAGATGATTTCGGGGCTTTTTAGTGTCCCCGCGGCCCGGTCCTCGACCAGGCCTCCACCCCCAGGAAGCAGCCCGTGACAGCTGACTAACACCCAGGTACCTATTTTACTGCTAGGTAACAGGGGCATAGGGTGAAAGAAAGGGTGACTTCTTTCAGTATTTGAGCTTGTATAAGGGATATATTATGTTCTTAAGGAGTTATGTGGTGTGTTCACTTTGGCTTCTTGTTCATCTATATCCACCTAGTTGTGCTTGCGGGGGTTGAGCTCTGGCTCTGTGGTCCCGCCTCTCAACCGTCAATCAACTGGTGTACAGGTTCCTGAGCCTACTGGGGGGTCTATTATATCTACACTTGAAGCTGTGTATGGAGTCAGCCTCCACCACATTGCTGTCTAGTGTGGCGGTGTGCTGCTGTTGGACCTTCAGTGGTAGATATGGTAGTGGTAGTGGTAGATGTGGTAGTGGTAGATGTGGTAGTGGTAGTGGTAGATATGGTAGTGGTAGTGGTAGATATGGTAGTGGTAGTAGTAGATATGGTAGTGGTAGTGGTAGATATGGTGGTAGTAGTAGTAGTAGATATGGTAGTGGTAGTGGTAGATATGGTAGTAGTAGTAGAAGTATTTGTGGAAGTTATAGTGGTATATGTAGACATGAGACCCCCCCCCCCTCTCATCTTCCCCCCCCTTTCTCTCTCTCTCTCTCTCTCTCTCTCTCTCTCTCTCTCTCTCTCTCTCTCTCTCTCTCTCTCTCTCTCTCTCTCTCTCTCTCTCTCTCTCTCTCGCAAATATTCCTCCGTTATTCCCTAGTAAACATTCATTAAGGTCAAGTTATATCAAAGTTCAGCAACAATCAACATTGACTTACAAAAGAAAAATGTTGAAAAACACAGCGAAAATCTTAGAAACCCCCGCCCCCCCCCCCCCACACACACACACAGATAGAACGATCTAAAATAATCACGACTAGAACATGGAATTTGAGAGGGGGGGGCTAACAAACAAACAAACACAGGGGAAGGGTTGGGGGGGGGGAAAGTATGGGTAAGGGGGGGCTGAAACTAGGGGGAGGGGGAGGGGGGGGGACATGCTAGGGAGGACTAGCTTTACCCTACAAACATTGTCGCACATCGTTTGAGGGTAAGCCCCCCCCCCCCCCCCCCCCACCCGCTCCTGTGCCAGGTAAGTCCACTACGGGATCGCCATAGCCCGTGCTACTTGGAATTTTTTGCTCCAAGTAGCGAATTTTAAACAACAACGACATGTTTGAGGTAAAGTAGGGGGGGGGGAGGATCACTGACACTTAAACAGCATCGAACCCCCCAAAAAACATACATAAAATAAAAAGAAAATACTCTGGATTTGTATCTAAAAAAAAATTTGGTTTGGTTCTATACAGGACACAAAACATTCAATATACTTCTCAGTATACTTAGGGATATAAATACATACACTGGATGCGTTTATTTATTTTTTTTTTTGGGGGGGGGAGGGATGTTTTACTGGGCAAGAAATCATTATTCTGAAAAAATAGGGATTGTTTTTTTTTTTAGCAGTGAAATGAATTATATTGTTGGTCTACATCATTGGGTCAAGCGAGCTGTTCAAACAAAATTTTTTGATGGATTAATGTGGACTAAAACTCGATTAGTAAACAAAAAATAGGTTGTGAAGGAATTTAAGAAGAAATGAAATAGCCCCCCAAAAAAAAGATTTCAAAAAAGTTTAGGTCTTTTTCTGTGATCTGTATTACCGAGAGGAGGAAATACATCCTTGTGGGAAGGTATACATTACGAAGATACAGTAAATGAAAGTTCCTTCTCCAGAAGGAACTTCCTTCTTCTATTCATCAGACAAGTTAAGGATGTTTAAGATCCTCTCCTGTCAAGCCAGAATGAAGAAATGTCAAGTATTACTTTGCTTTCTTGACTGTAATCATGCTGTCAGACCCTTGACGTCTGAGTGGGACTACTCAGACAACAGTACCGATTGTACCAAGAGTCTTGTGAACTAATGAACATGTTTGAACAGCACACACAGAGATCACACTAACGTGATGCATCAAATGAACAAATCCACAAGGGCCGTGACGAGGATTCACGGCCCTTGAGTCGATTAAGGCAGTGTCTGGGATGCTCCCAGACGCAGGTTCGAATCCTCGTCACGGCCCTTGTGGATTTGTTCATGTTTGAACAGCCGCCGCTAAGGAAGGAATCCTTGAACCTTACGGAACATGTCACCAAACTTACACCACACTCAGGTCACATCAGGAGACATCATGCACACACTAACAAATTGATTGAACAACATCTAGATTTGTCTAGGAAATTTATGCATTTATATAGGTCGATTTTTATAAGAGTTCGAGACATGATGAACATACTCAAAGTACAAGCAAGGTTACTCACCCATAGCTGCTCCTCGACGCTGGAGGGTGGCTGAGTCGTCCTCCTCGAGGGCTCAAGTGCTGCTTCAAACTGCTTTCTGGGGGTGGATGAGGGTGGAGGTGGTCCTCAGAGGTGGTCCTCAGAGGTGGTCCTCAGAGGTGGTCCTCAGAGCGTCAAGAGCATGTTACCTCGGTCCTTAGCCACTCGACGAGCCTGTTATCAAATCCTCAGGGAAGAGCTCAAGAAATCTCCCGAGTTTTCTCTTGCTATAATCTATTGTGCTAAAGTATAAAAATAGAAAACCATTATTCGTTCTATACACTTTAGGCGAGCAGTAACATGCTTGGCATCATAATAATACTCGTCCAAGGGTCTCGCGGTGAGAAATTGGAAATACAAATTTGGTTTTCAATGGGGGGAAAGTATATATATATATATATATATATATATAGGTTTTCTAGGAATTGTTTTCTCACAAGAGACGAAAGTGGTGTTATGGCGGCGAGGACCAAGAGGTGCTAATGGCCACAAAAGGCAATCATTGCTGATAAAGGTGTTCTGCAAAAGTGGGTTTTATCACGATAGAGCGAGGGATGAACACCGGGGTGTGTGCAGACAGCAGCAGCAGCAGAAGGAGTATAGTGGAGACTGTTACCGTCCACTGCCCGTCACCTACTCCATGACACTTGTGTCCTTAGAGTACAGTTGGTCCTGTCACCAGACGGGTCGCACCTTCCCTCTCCGCACCCTGTCAACTGTCTCCTAAATCCTGTCCTTTTGGGGGCCGCAAAGAGGGAAGGAGAGAGGCTGTTCTTATCGATTGTTCAGTGTGTTTAAATTTTTTTCCTCTGTGTTTGAAGAGCGAGTTAAATTGTTATTTTGAAGAGATATTCACATATATTATTTGTGTCCGTTTTCAATACCTGGGTGATGTGAGTTGGTGTTTATTGATCTAGTGCCTCATCTGCGGTGCCTTGGGTTATGACAGACCTCTGAGGGAACTCTTAACTGCTTCCTCTGATCACCAGAGCCCCGTTCGGTCCGCAGGTGAGGCTAGTTCCCGCCAATTAAGACGTACCTGAACGAGACAGGCGGCTGTACGAGCCTTCCAATTTCAATTGAGGTCCTTGAGCACCACCACCGCCGCCTTCTTGCAATTGCACGATGCCAGGTCACGTCTTGCTAACCACTGAGACACACTCGTGAATAATTAGCCACAGAGCCAAGAAGCTTCGACGGTCTCGCACGCCATTTGATGTTTCCCGCGTTCAATAGTGAAAGTCCTTTGCACTACCCCTCTGAGGCCACGTGGCTAACGACACCGGCTCAACACTAAAGAGCCTCTCCTCTTCCAGGTCAAAGAGCGAGGGAAGTAGAGAGAGAGAGAGAGTGTTAACCGTCAGAATGAGAGCTCTCTCACACACACACACTACCCTCGGCTGTGTCGCAGATCACACTGAGGGGTTTGGCTTCGGTGTGGCCACAACCAGGCTCTATCCTTCGCTATCCTGCGCATCTGTACCACATCAACACAAACCTTTCTCGTCGGCTTTTTCTTCCCTCCTAGATCGTCCTGTTGGTGGGGG